TTATTCATACTGCACCAAGTACACCGGTATCTAAATATTTCTAACATGCTGTCAGCCCACTAAAGACTTGGGCTTCTTCTGTGAGAGTAGGTAGTGGATCTGTGAAAAAGATGTGGTACTGCTTTTTTTTGGGTTGCAGCCTCTGCTTTTGAGCACTTACAGTGTGAAAGAAGGGGAATACATGTGCTGTTTGGGTATGCTTGGTGTCGTGTGGTCTGTGTTGCAATGCTAGAAGCAACCCTTTGCTGCACTCCCCGTGCATCTTATGGTATACTTATGGGTGGTACCCGTGGGAGCTATCAGTAGAAAATGTTAGTGTGGGGTTTTTTGTTCCCTTTCTGTAGAGCTGTTTGTAAGCTATTCTTTGTCAGCAGTGAAGTTTGGAATAGAAAGGTTGGTGGTGTAAGGGCTAAACCAGCTGTTTAACTCTCAGTGCTACTTAAAAAGTAAAATGTAACACTTCTATGCTCTTATGTAGCACTTCTTCATTTTTCCAGAAGAAAATTGCACCTTTCAGAAGTTTCAAAAATATGCAAAACCAGACAGGATAAATGTCAACTTTGACACATACATGGAACAATACTAGATATAAAATGAAGTAAAATATTCAATTGATCTTTCCCCATTCTTAATTTTTGAGTCAGTGACAGCCAAGAAACTTAATCTTCATCCAGTTCCGTACTGTTCCCTTAAGCCCCCCAGAAGGCATTATGAGCATTCTTCTGAGAAGAAACTACACTTCCCTTTGTCAACCAGCAGTAATCCAAGGAATTAAAGCCCTTCTGGTTTGACCTGGTAAAAAATATAGCTCATCACCACAGGAGTGTGACCAGTGATGGCCATTCAGAACTAACAGTGGGGTTTTTTTTTTTTTTTGGCAGCTCACTGAGAGGAGGAGACTGTTTTACATAATTCCAGGTGCTGTTAACAGAATTACAGTAGCCTTTAAAAATAACAATGCATTGGCATAAATTCTTAATGAAATTTCATCACTTTCAGATTTTTTCAAAGGCTACAAGTAGCCTTGGGAGATACTTCTATACTCCTGCTCTACAATTTACAAACAGTAAATTTTTCTTTGCTATGAGAACTGACTTGAGCTGCTTATCAAAGATGAATGTGTGTCTTATAATGTGTAATATTCTAAAATATAAAACATATCTATATATGTTGCACGACCACATTAATTGAATGACAGGGATTAAATTGCTTAGGTCTCACACATTAAAAATGTGCCCGAAGAAGTCTTATTTACCCCTTAGAATGTGGCATTCTGTGGTATAAAAATCTTGAGGAAGGTAGGAAGATATGATGCAGGACATCAACCAACCTAAAATAATAATACATATTAGACACTGTAGATTACCTAAACTGATTTCTTTGGTGCATTCTCTGGATCATAGTATTGGAGAAAGTGGGTTTCCTAATCTTTTTCTGTATCCCCTTAACTCACTGATCCAAAAAAACCCACCTTCGAGTGGATCTGATGTTGAATCTGGAGTCTGTACAAGAAGACAGACTAAGGAGTTGGTTGAGTGGGAGGACAGGAACATCAGCAAGTTCTCAGACTAAAATAGTTAGGAACCCATATTGTTTATAGATAGCACAATGAGGAGTGTGATCTAAGGCTTAAAATCCACAAGTCTTTCTGTTGCCAAAGGACAAGGTAAAGAGCGTTTCCTGCTTATGATGATTGCCATCAGGTAAGGCAAGACCGTGGGGCCCTTCATTGTGTCAAGAAGCACTTGCTTTCCTGACCATAATGCTTTCTGCTATTCCTGGTGTTACTGCATTTAAAAGAATAAATGAAGCACCTACTGGTTAAGCAGTGAAGTAGATCTAAAGTCATAGAGACTAAACAATAGGTGTTCAGAATTCAATCTTGTCTGAGATTATGCCTCGGTGCAAATTTTGAGTTATCAAACTTCAGTGCAGATAAAGTGAATAAGAGGAAAAGCAGCAGCAGCATTTTGCTTTTGGCTCTTGTGTTTACTTCACATACTTCCTTTGATATGTCATCATAAGAAAGATACAGAAAACCCAAAAGATCCTCATGTCTGAAGCTGTAACATTATGGATAAGCTGCAGCCTAGTATGCATGTTGATATGGAGGCTAGCTTGCTGTCTTCCAGCTTTTGAAGGCTTCTTTTACTGTGATTTTTTTTTTTTTAAATGACTTATAGAAGCTCTGGAATTTTTGCCCGAGTGGGTTAATAATAAAATTCTTATATTCCAGTCCCTTTTCATTCAAATGTCTGATCTTGGAAGTGCACTTCTGTTCTGGGTACTACTCCAGCAAATGTGATTAAAACCAAGTGATCTACAGCCATCTTCCATGAACACTCAGAGGAGAAGGTTATCTTGGATTCTGACACCTGTCAGAAGTATCATAGATTCTGCAGCAAGCATGCTTATTTTGTGCACAGCACAAATAAGGACTGATAGCCTTTGGACAACACAGCTTTAATCTTCCCACAGTTTCACTGAATCTATTTACAGGAATTTTTATTTTAAAGCGTCTTGCTGAAGTCATCAACATTTTGTCGTTACTTACACTTTACTCTAGAAAGGCATTAGGAAATGTGATATCTATGTAGCCTCTGAAAAACAAACATATATTGAGTCAAAATAATTCAGGATATTTTTATCTCTTTTTTGATGTTGATTATCTCTTAGTGAAGCTTGGAAGAAATAAAAATATTATTGAGGAAAAGGAAGCCTGGTAGAAGTTGTTTAGCAGATTGTGTCAGTTTAGTCTGTTGACAAATGAAGTGGAAAATTAATTCTTTCATAGAAGCTGTTATCACATGTAAGTCAGCATGCTAAGAAGCAACCACCAAATTCTACTTTTCACATGCACTTGGAATAAATTTATGGCATTGGAATTTGAACAGGTGTTGGATTTGATGTTTGAGGAAACTTGGGCTCTTTCAGCTTTATGGCTAGAATAAGAAAATAAATTTGCTCATATTTGTATCTGCAAATTTTTTTTTAATCTTATGTTCCATTGAATAGCTAGTGTCAAACTGTCTTCGGCTAATATGATAGTTGAAAAGTGTTGTAATGCTGTTCTGCAGATGACTACCGACTGTGTAGTCTAGAAGAGATGCATTGTTCCTATAAACACAGGTGTCGTGTGCTTGAAATGGTGACATCAAGAGCCAGCTGAGAATAAAGAGACGATGGTAACGTAAGTTGCAGACATACACTGCAGACATACACTTTTGGTTTCTGGAGGTACCTTTTATACATTTAGTGTTTGGGTTCTAGACTGATTATTGGCATAAATATGGGTAACGTCCAGAAACTGAAGCAACTGCTTCTTGGTGCTGCATAGCATAAGCACATCGGTAAGATTTTAGAAGCATAGTGCAGGTTGCGGTAGGTATGGTGACTCGCCGTCCGGGCTGTGGGAGGGCTGGAGCGCACGGAAAGGCCCCTGCTGCCACCAGGTGTCAGTGCTCGCGTAGCTAAAGCCGCTCCCTCTGTGCGTCCTCCGAATTTGTGGCTAATGATGCGTCTGGGCTGGCTTTTCTTCTGCGCGGAGCAGCTGCATAGCTAACGGGGCCCTTGTGCAGGTACTAGCTCCTGGTTCGGGGGGTTGGTAGCGTTAGAACTGTGAGTAAGCTGTAAAATCTTGTGCTCAAAAATGGTATTGGATCCAGGCATCCCTAACAACAGCTGATATTTTATAAGAAATGTGACAATTTCATCCTTCCTGCAGTTGAAAGGCCTGTTATGTCTTACATGCTGGAGATGATGTGGCTGATTGAGTGAATATGGGGGAGAGCGTGCTGGGACTGTACCTCTGTCCTCAGCCTGCCTGATCCTTTCCCTTTGACTGCTAACAAGGAAGATCAGGTATGGAGGAGCACAGGCAGATCGGTATTACAGGACCGTTAAGCAACTGCTTTTGATCTGTTTGAAAATGGTCAGTTCTTGTGGAACTTAAACTGGTTGTGACTGGTGGAAGACTCACAGAAAGTAGTACTTCTTTTAGTAGTACCTTCCATATAAACAGAAAATAATCAGTTTTTCTGGGAGAAGCGAGAATCTTCCTCAAGGTATAAATTTATATAGACTTTAAAGTTACAAAATGAGTACTGTCTGGAGGGAAGGACTGTTTATTTAAAAAAAAAAAAAAAAAAACGGCAAAACCTTTTTTTTTCCCCCCTTTCCATTGGGAAGTGGGGTCACAGTGGGAGTTGTGCACCTTATTCCAAAAAAAACCCCAAACCACTTCAAAGGACAGTTGGTTTAAACTCTTGAATCTCCAGAACTGAATTGCAATTGCTTTGAACTTTTGTTCAAGTTGGCTTTGTGTTGTAACTGGTTATTTTGCAAAGGTTTAAATTGAGTAATTTATAATCTTCTGCAGCTATTAATGTCCTTTCTTCCTAAATCTGTGGAAAAAAAGAGGCTGTTGTTATCCAGCATAGCAAATAAAGTAATCTGTTAGAGAAGGTAATACTTTTTTTATATATGAAAAGAGATCCTGTTTCACATGCACTGTGTATTGCATAAGTTTTTTTAATTTAATTGTGGCTGTCATTTAAAAACAAACCTTAAATGCTGAAAGAAAACCATAATGATTTCTTGGTTTTAAAGGCTTCTTTTTTGAGACTACAGAATAATAACTTGATGTGCCAGAACCACTCTGGAGACAAAACTTAAAAGCTGGGGATAGGCATTTGCAGCTCCCATTAAAATCGGGAAATTGCCTGCTTATATATGGGTGGCATTCAGCCCACTGCCTCTTGTTAGGCAATATCAGGAGATCAGTTTGTGAACTATGTGGAACATAGCAGCTCCTTTTTGGAGTATCATGACCATTGTTAGAGATGGTGATACCTTAAGCTCAACTGCAGTTTCTACTTCTTGAAATGGAGCAAAAACTGCTGAGAGCATCTTTCACTACCCAGCAAGTATGGGTAAGATAATAGTAAAAGTGGCTTGTGGCCTTAACTGAGTCTCAAGTTTTTCTTTTTACTTAAATACAGGTTTGTAAGCGAATGGACTTGGTTTGCCAGCGGATGTTAAATCAGGGATTTCTGAAAGTGGAGAGATACCACAACTTGTGTCAAAAGCAAGTTAAAGCTCAGCTTCCAAGGTAGGTGCCAGTAAAATGTAGTTGAATGTAAACGTGCTAGACTCTTTTAAGCAGAAGGTTGACAAGGAATTTCTTGCTGGCTAAGTCTACTTAGATATCTTGAAAACTGAAAGTTGCAAATTGTTTTATACAACAAACTGGAATATTAGAAAGTGTCTCTGATATTTTAAACAGAGAGAAGTGGCTCCTCTATTACTCAACCCTTCTGACAAATCAGGCAAGGATTCCTAGGAATGATTAAATGCCATTCCTTTTCAAGACTGGCTGCCTTTGCTTACTGTATTTGGTTTGTGCAGCAAGGTTTGAGTAGTGGGAACTACAGGGGTGGCTTCTGTGAGAAGCTGCTAGAAGTTCCCCCTGTGTCTGATAGAGCAAATGCCAGCTGGCTTCAAGATGCAACCACTGCTGGCCAAGGCTGAGCCCATCAGTGGTGGTAGCCCCTCTGTGATAACATATTTAAGACAGGGGAAAAGCTACTGCACAAGAGCAATTGCAGCAGAGAGAGGAGTTGGGGGAAACAGCTCTGCAGACACCAAAGACAGAAGAAGAGCAGGAAGGGGGTGCTCCAGGTGGTGGAGTAGAGATTCCACTGCAGTCCATGGTGAGGCAGGCTGTGCCAGTGCAGCCCATGGAGGTTAGGGGTGGAGAGCCCTGTGCCAGAGCGGGTAGATGTGACCAAAGGATGTTGTGACCCCATGGGAAGCCTGCACTGGATTAGGCTCCTGGCAGGACCTGTGGCACCTTGTAGAGAGAGGAGCCCATGCTGGAGCAGGGGAAGGGTGAGGGAGACCTTCCCCTGAGGAGGAAGCAGCAGCAGAAACAACATACTATGAACTGACAACCCCTATTCCACTATCCCTCAGTGCCATTGGCAGGGAGGAGGCAGAGAATTCGGGAGTGAAACCTGAGAAGGGAGGTGTGGGGGGAAGGCGGTGTTAAGATTTGGTTTTGCTTCTCGTTACACCTCACTGATTTGATTGGTAATAAATTAAACTAATTTCTTCAAGTTGAGCCTGTTTTGCCTGTGACAGTAACTGATGACTGTCATTGATAACTGAAGACTCCTCCTCCAGTTGGAGAAGAGTGACAGACTGGCTTTGGTGGGCACCTGCCATCCAGCCAGGGTCAACCCACCACATTTATCTATGACTTCACTTGAAAACTCAAGCTTCTTTCAGTGCTGTGTATTAAACAGGAGAATGGGGGGGGTAGGGAGGGTGTTGACATGTGAGTGTTACTGGGAGATAGTCCAATATATTCTTTTATCCTCTCTCTAGTAAGTGCAGCTGCTGCTGTGTCCTGTCAGATTATCTAGTCAGGGTGAAGGAACTAAATGCTACTTACTGTAAAGGTCCTTTGTCAAAAGAGCTTATATCTCAACCTAAACTTTGTAGCAAGCACTAGTAGTGTATTAAATTTATGTCAATTCCATTGAAGTAATAATTATAGGAATATGAGAGGATAAAAATATTTGCACTGACTGTCTATTGGCAGTTAGTACTGGAAGACTGCTTTTTTAATAGTCCTAAATTATGTATATAGTTTATGAATCACATAAGATGTAGTAATTATTTAGAGAACAAATGATCTAAAAGTGTGTGTGCTATTGCTAGCTGGGTCTCAATCCGTATCAGTTTTTCTTCCCCTAAAGACAGAACTAATATTAGCGGTTACACTTTCAAACCTCAGAGCATTTTAAGGGTGAAATTAACTTGAGTGATTGTTGCAGTTTCACTTTGTTGACTCATTGTTAAATCAGTGTCACTTAATGGTCTGTCTCCTAGGCGGGAGTCTGAGAGGAGAAACCACTCATTAGCTCGTCACGCAGACATCCTTGCTGCTGTGGAAACGAGACTCTCCCTGTTAAATATGACTTTCATGAAGTATGTGGATTCCAACCTCTGTTGCTTCATACCTGGAAAGGTAAAATGTAGACTATAATATGTGAAATTGTATCTGTGTTTAAAAAGTATGATTGTGTAACTTAAACTGGGGCAGCTGGGGCAAATTTATACAATATTCATATACTGAAACTGTTTCCACTACTTGCACGCAAACACACAAGCTAATACTCTGCTATGAAAGGTAGTCTTAAATGAATGAACCAGACTATATCTAAATATTAATTATTATAAACTTGATTTCAGTTTTCCCTTAGATTGTCTCTTAATTTTGATGTTTGACTCGTGGCATATACATCCTGTACAAGCTTTTACAAGAAACATGATATATAGGGTTTAATTCCGAATTTTAACTTTACAAAATAGCTGGAGGCCAGGTCATCAGAAAATACAGTAACTTGGACTACATATAACACTAAGCAGTCGATCAATCAGGAAGATTTTAGGCACCTTTCTTAAGGGTTTGAGTACTTCAGTTTAATTGAATGAATATATTTAGTATGTGAAAACACTGTTCAGCATTACAGTAGATATGCTACTTTTGTACAGTAGATGAAATTAGTTTTAAATGTAGATAGTGTGTTAAATATTAATGCTGCTGAACAATTCTGGTGTTCCAGAATACTACCCCAAGATAAATATAAATTATGCAAGTGAGATGTACTTTGGAGATACCACTGTTTTATAAGATGTGAAAAGAAATGCATAGGGGAATTCACAAAATTGTGTTCTGAGGAAGACCGGTACAGCTCAGGGCTGAAACAGGATCTCTGACCATTAGTCTAATGCTCTATTCATTGGTCTTACCACGTGAGGTTCAGCTCTGTTGGTGTTAATTTTTAATGGGCAGATAACTGAATTGCACTGGGATGAAGGGAAAATTTGGCTCTTGGGTTCAGGTGAAGAATGGCAGGCAGGCGTTTTTACATTCAGTGCAGTCAGATAGGATGTCGACATTAAATGTATTTTTTATCTTGAAGAGAACTTGATTTCTGTACACTCTTGTTATCTTGATAGTTATTTTTAAATTAAGTCATTATAGTTTAATATACTTATCTGACTTTGTTTATTTACCAAGTATTTTAGAAAATGTAATGTGAAGTCAAACTTAAATCCTTCATATATAGTAGATGAAATACTTAAAAGAAAAGTTGCCTTCCTTTTTTGAACAGCAGAAGGAAAGGTACTATGCAGTCTAGACCTGAGCTATTTTCCATGTAAGCAATGATTCATAAGGACCTTGTTTGTATTCTGGTATAACAGCTAAAGAGGTGGGGTTTTTAAATTATTTACTTAGTGTATGAGCTTGGTAGTGCTGCTGCTTTCTCAGCAGAGCTACCAATTCACCAGAAAATCCTATTTAGGTCAAGCAGATTCAAGGCTTAGAGTCCTATTGCAGTCTGTGGTTTCCCACCTGACCTGCCCTTCTGCCCTCAAGAAATTTCATTTGACTTAAACTGCCACAGAATTGTCAGGAAGTTGGTTTGTGTTAGAATATGCAAGTTCTGATTTGAGGCACAGCATACTGTGTAAGGGCTCCTGGTGACAACAGAGTGCTTGCTGCAAGATTTTATTGAGGATGGCAGGAGAATGCTTTAGAGATCTTCTTGCTAGTGGAGTATAATGTGGGTAAAACTAGAGAAGTCTTTTTTGTAAGCTTGTTGCACAATGAGACTTGAGTCTTTTCTAGCTTTTGCAAACTTTTTAGTTAAGCTTCCTTCAGTAAGAAACACAGGATGCAACTGTATTGTCTTATGATTTTAAGTACTTAAGGTCTGTGTTCTTCAGGAGGCACTTCAACCATTCTTAATCTTGTGCAAAATACCTGTATGAGTAATTTTGATACTGAAAGACCAGCACTCCAATCTTGACCTGCCTCAGACTGCAATTCATAGACTAGCGAGACACTTTCCATCTCTCTGTGTCTCTCCTAACCAAAGGGCTTGTCAAGCATGTTCAGAGGGTGCTTATTTTCTCTGCCAGTAGTGGACTGTTTTACAGATTAATTTATTCTGAACTTAATCTGAATTTGCAGTATTTTGGGCGCATTGAAGTAGATTCAGGTAAATATTTACAGCTCTTCAGACTGACATAATATTAATTCTTACTACTCCATTTGTTTCATAACTGGCTGGGGGAGTGACTGCTTTACACTGTGCCTTACAGCGTCTTGCTTCAGGTTGTCCAAAAAGAAATTATGCTCTGCTGAGTATAGATTATGTAACTTAGAAGTCAAGTGTGGATGTAGCAAAACAAAATTCCACACAATGAGCGTTATTTCATGAATTTGAAGAGTTTTGATAGATCAAGCTAATAGCTTCTCTGATATATTGTGAACAGCACTTCATTTCAAAAATCTGGAATGGAGCTAAAGCACACCGTGGTATGCAATAGGTGTGTAGTAAAAGCCCCTGAATATGCCAGAACTTCTAGAATGATCTGAAATAATCTTGCCTTTATCAGAAAATCCTAATTCTTCTTAAATGTTTTAGGTAATAGATGAAATTTATCGTGTGCTAAGGTATGTAAACTCTACAAGAGCTCCTCAGAGAGCTCATGAAGTTCTTCAAGAACTAAGGGACATTTCCTCCATGGCTATGGAATATTTTGATGAGAAGATTGTTCCAATACTGAAAAGAAAGATGCCTGGGTCAGATGTATCGGGACGTCTGATAGGAACTGCCCCAGGTATTAATTCCAATGTATAGTTAAATTTTATTTAGTTTTTCTGTAAAAAAGGAACTTCGCAGCATTCTATCTTTTTGAAGCTCCCACCCTTAAATGTGAGCTTTATTACAGAAATATTGATGATACTTGTTTCTTAAGAATGCTAACTGAAATTAATTTTCTTTGAAATTCAAGGAGCCTTTGTACTACCAAAAGAACAGTCACTTGAATGTATGTTAGAATTATGCATAGTGTGTATTCCTTAAACAAACGCTTTTGTGCCACCAATGAATGAGACTTTATCATTGCACTTGGTTGACATTTGGCACATGAGATGACAACCTGATGCCTTTTTACTTTTAGGACAATCAGCAAATGAATTACACTAAGCTGTTGTAGAGCGTAGAGAGCTAGAACATCACTTGTATGTGTTTTTTTTATTTTTCTGGAGAACTAATATGTACAAAACAAACAAATTACTTAGGGGTAATAGTGAAAAGGCAATTAAATAACAGTCTATAAATGAAAAATTAAACCCATTCTTCCATATACTGTCAGACTTTCCAGAACTTTTGTGAACCAAAGTCTAAGGTAGTTGCCTCATTTAGGGGCCAAAAGCAGAAGGTTAGCAGAACTGTAACATTTTTCCCTATGCTGAACAGCTTCACATTTCTTAGAAACTGTGAAATTAACTCTGTGAAAAGATGATAGTTTAAAAAAACAAACAACACAAAGCCCCACCATCTTAAAAGCAATAGGGCCTAACTGTAGGAGATGGATATTGTTTCTGTTATATCCTATCCATCCTTCTAGCCTTAAGTGTGTATACAAGCTCTTAATTATATCCTGTTAATGATGCCTCAGTTCCATTGAGTCTGTTGGCTGGGGAAGTATTGCTCAAAACCATAGCTGATGTCAATTGGCTTTTCAAGGCCAAGGTTTTATGCAGCATAAAAATGCCTTTTATTGTGTTGAGGGCAGTGCATAACCTAACTAATGACAACCCTTTAGTGTCACATAACTGTTGGTATGCTGACATTTGAAAGAACAAAAAAAAAAAAAAAAAAAGGAGAATGACTGTTCTAAGGTGTTGCAGACTGTTCTGTCTTTGTAGCACTGAGAAACTGCATCTTACTTGCACAACATTGCTAGGAGAGTAAAATGATAGACAGTGATAGATATATTTTATGGTAGAAAAAGTTAAACAAATTATACTGTAGCTGTTAGTCTCCTTAATTTGCAGGAACTTTATTAAAAGCAACATTACCAAGCTCAAATTCCAGTATGGTTTTAGTACTTAGGAAGACAGATTCTAAGGAAAATAAATTCCTTTCTTCTAAAATGTAAGTTAAACCAAAATATCTTGTTAAGCCCCAAACCACAAAACTTTAAAACTTTAGCTGTCCACAGCTAAGACAGCAGAACTGTACTGTTCTATTGGAATATATTTATTTAATGTAACTATTCTGTAATGAGTAATTTGTAGACATGTTGTGGGTTTTTGACTTGACATCTGTGACACTAATTCTAGAGGATAACATAATATCTCTAACGTAATTTTTGATACAGCTAAAAGGAGCGGGGCTTATGTACCAACAATGAATGATGATATCTAAGCATTTTAAATTTAGTCGTGCTCTGAGATACCCTATGCTCTTGTTAGATGCTTAAATAACTGTACATCCGTTCACGTGTTCCCATAACTTGCAAGCAGCATTCAGATCCATGTTTGGGGAGCAGGGATAAGCAAATGTGAAACTGGGATGCAATTTCTACCTTTGTCTTAAAATTGTAGAGGATTAACCACTTTTTTTTTTCTGAAGTTCCAGGGCCTTCTGCAGCACTGACAACAATGCAGCTGTTCTCCAAGCAGAACCCTTCAAGACAGGAGGTCACCAAACTCCAGCAGCAAGTAAAAGCCAACAGCACAGGCTTCACAGCACTAAAACGGGAAATCTCGGAGCTTCGCATCAAAATGCAAGAGCAACAGAAACAGCTCCAAGATCAAGATCAGAAACTGCTTGAGCAAACCCAAATCATAGGTGAACAGAATGCCCGATTGGCTGAGCTTGAACGCAAGCTGCGAGAGGTGATGGAGAGTACAGTAGGGAACTCTTCAGGTTCTGGCTCAAATGAACAATCTCCTAGGAAACGGAGGAAGGCTGTTGAATCCACAGACTGTCCTAGGAAATCTAAACGCCTTCGAAACAGAAAATAACTTGGGAGTCAATAGCACCTTCAGGAGGATACACTGCTTTAGTAGCCCAAGCAGGTCTGCTTGTTTGGATACTGTGACTAGCTTCATGGTGTCACTTAGGCTGCTGGCTCTTCAAAACGCCACTTAGACTCAAACAGTAAATTTCTTTCATTGAGACTTTACCCCTGCTTTCTGTATGGGTGGGCCTAATGCACAGAATCTTTAAGATTTGCAATAGTTACATACTAACCAGACCTGCTCTCTTCTGTTTTGAAAGGTTAATCTTTTCTGTGCAGATGTGTTTAAAGTAAACTTATTTGTGTTTATGCATATGTTCACATAAAATCTTAAATAAATTCAGTCTTAACTGACTAAAACATGAAGCGTAAAAACAGATGTCCTGTTCACTTGAAGGAAAGATCCACTTTAAAAATCTTGTTTTAGAGGACTTGACTCTTTTTGTTACAAGTGACCTTGCCTGGAACGTCTGAAAAGTAGTTAATACTTTTTTTGGGATCTCTGTAATGAGTAAAACTGATTTCTTAAGCTACAGTATTGGCTATATATTTTTGTAAACTTATGAGGAAGGGCCTTCTATCCAGTTTTCACATGCACACACCCTGGTTCTAGGTCTTGGGAGCCATATTCTCCATTTGCATGGATAGATGCATGTACCGCTTCGTCAGCCTGCTAAAGGCACTTGCCTGAAATTGTTCTGAACTCTGGGAGAGAGCAGAGACCTGTCAAGCAGTTTCTTTGCTCCTCAGCCATAACTTAGCATCTGCTTTCAGCACAGCTGCTTTCTTACAATAAGGTGCTCTTCAGAAGCTAGTTGCAGGAGAGTTTGAAGCCAGGCTGTCTGCCTCTTTCACTGCCTGTAAATTGCAGGTATTCTTAGCCAAAGCTGGAGAATTTGAGAAGCTGCCTACACAGCGCTTTATTCATAGGCCAACATCAATAAGTGTCAGACAAACTGTCCCTGCGGTAACGAAGCTCAGGGGGACATCGTTTGAATTAAATGCTGTATTATGGAAAAACTTCAATTATTTTGTGTGTATGTGTGCGGGGTGGGGTGGGATGGAAATTTCTCTGTAACACTGACAATATTCTAAGCTTTCCTTACCCTGAAAGGTAATTTGCTTCAGACAAAGCTTTAATTTCTTTTGCACTTCTGTTTTGAGCTTGTAACTGGAAAAGCATGTCTTGCACTGTTCAGTCTCTCTGGTCACTTTAACAACCTCAGAGTTGTGTACAGTGATTTTTTTTTTTTCCCTCATCTGTATATTTTTGGAATCTTTATACAAATACCATTGTCCTTGGTTTTGTTTTAATGTACTAAACTATGTAGCTTTATCATTTGACTTATGTTTTCTTTTTTGATCAGCTGTTGCTTTGGGTTTAGGTGGTACTGAATCCAGCCTGGTGTGGCACTGAAAATGCAAATGCTGTATTTGTAGCTGTTCAAAATCATTATATTCTTACAACGGGTTAAAGTGCAAATTCTCTTACTTTTTGTATGGCTATCAGCATACTATAGTGTTTTTGTTTAAATTGCCAAACAAATCAGAAATTACCTGGTCAAGTATTACATAATCGGGGAAGTGTGACTTTTTTCCCTGAAACTTCAGCAACAATTCTTTATCTTTAACACATACTAGCTCATATCAGAAGTAACGTTGCAAATGCCTAATTTTTGGCAAACATTTAATTTTCAATTAAACTTGCTGGATACTTTGAGTCTTCTGAAAACCAGCATGGTTAAAGTTACCTAGGGGAAAGGTTAAATGGCTAATGGAGCATTTGCTATTACTGGTCTTCCAAGGCTCAGAATTGTTTTACTGTTAAAGATCTCTTTAAGATGGATATCTGCTGTTCAGTTTAAAAATACTGGCATAAATTTCTTTTAAAAAAAATAATAATTTTGAGTCAAAGGGTCAGTACAATAGCTATAATTGTGTATCACTTCATACAAATTCATTTAATGGTTATTCATGATGTCAAATTTATGTCATGGTCTAATTAACAGATATTTGTGGTTAAATACTTCTAAACAAGTATAAACCTGTGAACTGCATTTACTGATATGGCTTATTCATCCATCTCAGTATCTTTAGTTTCTTTTCTCATTTCTAGAAGATGCGAACAATTCCCTCCCCTTTAACAATATACAAATAGTTTGAGGTTATTGGAGGGTGCTATTTATTTATATGTTGGTGAATCTCTAGCTGTGTGTAAACTGAGCTGGAAAGAACAACAACAGCCTATTGTTACATGAAACATTCTCCGTGAATGGTGCCAACTTGGAACCTTCAATTCAAGGAAGTATCACATGCTGCAAGTTTGCAGGTGCATCCTGATGCTCTGCATACTACCCAGGGTAGTAGCAGTGAACGAGGCCCATGAAACTTCAGGGGGCTGAGGAGATGGTTACAAGCAAGCTATGAGAAATGTCCCAACAGAGGTACACTACTATTTTGTTTTCATTTCCCAAGGAAGGAGACATCAGTAGCAGACCGCTCTCAGACGGGAATATACACCAGTCGTGTAGATGGAACGTAGAGAGCTGAACTAAATAGCTTAGAAGTTAATATTCCAGCTATTTTCTCTGACACCACCTTGTCTCTTTTTGAAAAGGGTGCATTTTGCAATGTACGTACAAGCTGATAAAAGTGATTTAGTTTTCCTTCAGGCTGTTTAACTGAATTTCTGTGTGAGTTTACGTCAATTGGTGTATCTGCCTTGAAAGTACAGCGTAAGTAGTGATTAGCAAGTGTTTAATCTGCTCAAGGAGAACCTCAAACTAGTGAGAGTGAGATGCAGTTTACAAAGTTACATGAAAAACCATTTTATTTGCAGTCAAGTGATCAGTTTTAGTACGTGTAGTAAGGGCTGAATACAGCTGAGGGTTGAAAGAAAAAGTCGTAGCAAGTGTCTCTTAAAATTAATTTCTTAAAATATCTTAAACCTTCTGATGGTGGCTTCCCTTCTTTTTGAGCTTTGTTTCTAAAAACAGCAGCTTGCTCTGTAGACTACTTTTTGTTTTCCCTAGTAAGGTTGGGGATGTTTTTCAAATTTGTGTACCTAGTGAACATGGTGCAAGTGATATCAGAAGATCCCAAAGTGGTACTTTGAGGGAAAAGCCGTTTGCAAGCAGCTCTTGCTCCTCCAATTGAACAACCTGTATGTAAATGTAGTGTGCAAGCACCTTTTAAACGAGGGCTAATGGATGTCGTAGGTGGAAGCCTTGAGGGAAGACAGACTACCTGCTTAGCAGGATAAATGTCTCAGATTAAAGAAGAGATAGAAACCGAAGTTAACTTCTTCAATCCCTGATGCACTCAGCATAGCGCATCAATCACAGTAGTTCGTTAATGCTATGAGGATACCTTCATATGATTTCTTATCATAAAAAAGCCTGTATTGAACAGAAACTTAGTTGCTTTTACTGACGTCTTTTAACAGTTAATTGTAGGAAGAATTCAAGATTGACCAAGGAATTTTCAACATCAAGAGCCCCTTGGAAATAGGATGACATAGGGTATAGTTAAATATGTATTCAGAAAGGAATCCATGATTGCCTTTTCCAGTCATTTTTAAGACAGTAATTGGCAAATTACAGTGAAAGATTGTTAGTTCATATGTAAATTTAGTTTGGAGTATTTTATAGCAATGTGTCTGCTGGTTGTGAACTATTCTGGTACTCTCCAGTTGCATTCCTGTGCTACTCTGCACCACACCTGGACCTGCCCGCTTGTCCGCGTGCTCTCCACGCATCAGTTGTGCTTACTGCAGCTCACCTTCCCGGTTGGATGGGGATGTGCTGCCAGCTTGGGTTTCCCTGTAACTCAACACTCTGGGGTTTTTCTTTTAGCTTTGTGCCAGCTGATCACACGCTGGGTACTGGATCTCTTTGCAAACCAGCAGACCCATTCATTCTTTTGGCAGGATCCTTCCCATGGAGGAGGTCTTTAGCACAGTGATGGATAGCAGTGCTAATATTTGAACTACAACAAGAAGAGAACATTTTCAGAAACGTTGCGTACAGTGTTTAGAGGGTGCTTGTGACCCTGGCAATTTTGCAGTCGGCTTCTGTACTGGTAACTCAAAAACACACTTCCTGGTTTATCATGGAGCAGTCACTGAGCAACTGAATATCCCTCACAAGGACAAAATGCCTTGATGAAATCTAAACACCTGTTTTACCTTTTACGCTGCACTGGTCCTCACAAAGTCTCCAAAATTCAGATTGTGTGACCAAGAAGGGAAAAGCTGTGAATCAACTCTTCCATCTCTCCACTTTTTTTTCCTCCACTTCCTTTTTTCACTTCTAATTCACCCAATTCGCACATTAAAAATGCATGTAAATAAAAATATTCACTAAGCTGTTTTATAGATCCTGTGTTTTGTCTGTTACTTTAGATTGTAACGTTTTTAAGTAGGGATTGTATTTCCCCTGCATTTGCACAGCTGAACATGAGGCTTTTAGCAGCTACTACCTATTAGCCTTTTTTGTTAATTATTAGTAATAACTTTTAACTCACATCATAAACCTTGAGATATTATGTTAATAGATAAGGCATAATTTACTTTGTGCTAACTTCCTCTGTTTTTATCACTATTATTGCTTTAGATTATTTTGATTGATGTCCATTAAAAAACTATAAAACTAAACTTAAAAACTAAGATAAAAGTATCATAAAAGTAAGCATAAAAAATTCAAGCAAGTAGTGATTCAACTTCTACATAAAGTAATCTTTGTAACTGAACTGCCCACGGTCAACATTACAGGAGAAACATATGCAGGACAGATTAAATGGAGTTCAGTTCTTACAGAGGAGTTCGTCAAAGAAGTTGTGAAAATATCATACCACAAAAACTGAGGAAAAATGAGACGTTGGCACAGGCATTTTGAGTTGTAGTTAAATACATTTAGGCAGCTCACAGGAATTTATATTTTGGACAAATGATAGCTAGTCCTTACATCCATACAACTCCTACCTTTGGAAAGGTATTTTTTAAAGGGCTGCCGTTAAGACGTTATTTCTTATTCCAGTGTCCCAAAAGTGGTCCGGATGAGACTGCCCAGCCATCTGTGGTGGCTTCGGGGTAGGATGCCCCAACGGCTGAGAGGGGCAGAAATCCCACAGGCGGCTGAGCCTGTAGAGCCACCACGAAAGGCAGCGGGAGGCACGGCAGGGTAGGCGAGCACGAACCCGCTGAGGCCTCACCCGCCCAGCTTCTTGGAGGCCACCTCGTCGTTGCTGCCAGTGAATGCTGAGGGAGCTCCGTGTTCCCCCAGCGCCTCGGCTGGCCGGGGCCGGCGTTACACGCCGAGAATCTTCTCTCCCTTCTTGGGCAGCAGTGGCGCACG